TGGTAACCTCTGGATGGAGAAAAATCAATGTACAAGTGTGCTGACCAAGAATAAGCTTTGGTTCCAAAACAACATCAAGGTTTATGTTAAATATCCCATCCAATTAGCCCCTAAAACTCATGGAAAGCTTTCTGCTCACAATTAATATTCCTTCTGTGGAGCTCAGTGGTCACAGACAAGAACAAAGGGATGCATTTGACCAGGGGCTATGCAAGTACATTTTTTATTACAGCAGTGTGAAATCTAAGCAGGCACACCACTCCTGATTAACAGATGAGGAACTTAAACACAAAGACGCAGAGATCAGTTTGGGCCTATATAGTAAATAGGTGACATTCTGAAGTTTCAGACCTTATATTTAAGTGCTGCTATAAAACTGTAAAACATCAGACCCAGGAGGAGAACACACTTCTCCTCCACACACCAATCAGATTGCAATAGTAAGATTCCCACCTGAAGTTTCAAAGAGAAACTGTCATCCTGTTAAAAGCCAGACCCGAGATCCGTATCTCCTTAGGACCTCAATATTTTTTATGATACAATTCCAGCCACTCAAAAGGAAAGGGTAAGACACATGCCATACTTATGGACTAGGATGCATTCTGCGATGACATGCCCATAAACCAGTGCAATTGGTGTCCTCTTCAGACAGAGGATCAAATACCCAGTAGAATTAACAAAAACATTCAAAATAAAACCCCAGAATGATAAATAACATTAATACTACAATATTCTCACTCTTGATGGCATTCTGTAGTAGTGAATTCCATAAATAGTCTGTGCTACATAAACCCGTCACTTTCTCCATTTGTGCTTCCTTTTCCGATGATTCCTCATTACTGTGTCTGGGGGTATAATGAACTGCAATCTAGAGGGCTGTGAAAAAATAAAGTCACCCACACTGATGAAAGAGGTTTATCTACCAGAGGTGTGTTAAATGCTCCTCAGGCAGAAAAATAGAAATTACAAAATTTGTAATTACAAAACCAGACAAAACCAGCATTAGAGTGCTTCTATATCAAAATGGCAAGCACACAGGATAAAATGAAAAAGCTAAAATCCAAAAATGGCACAAACTCCCCATCTCTTCATGAATAAATTTAGATCAGAATTTAGAGTAATACTTTGAACATTTGAGGAGTAGGAAGCAGCAGTACCTGCGTCACAAGAGAAAGCACTGGAGGTCTGGCATTGAAGTTTTTGAACCGACTGCCTAACTAAAGTAGAAGATGGGACAAGACAACCCAGAAGTCCCTTCTAGTCCTAGATTTTCATGAGTAATTATTTGTGCTTTACCTAGCAGATTTCCCTTTGAAGAAGGAATCTTCTGTCCTTTGAGAAACAATAGTTTCATCCATAGGACAGAATCAAGCTTAGCTGTTAAAGGAACAGGAGTAATGACAGATGGGTGAGCACCCTTGCACACAATACATGGCACACAAATTATTCAACCATACTCCTTACATATTTCATCTACAAGGATATTCTAGGGTCACTACTTATGTATAAAACAAACCTCTTCAGGCATATCAGAAGACAGCTGCAAATCTACGGAACTCCATTTTCACAAGAAAATATGATGTGATTTTAACATGATAGACCAATTCAAAATTAATCATGTCCAATAAACACTATCTCTTCAAAATCTTAATGGCTGCATGGGGAGATAATGAGTTCCTTGCACAGTTGCTACCCAGAGGATAAATGTGGAAGATGACCACAGATCTGAAGGAGTATAATTTCTCAGCACCCTGAACGCTCTAAGACATTTTCTAAAACCCCACAAATAGTTTCAAAGCAACTCAAGATTAAATGGATGTGACAGATTGCGACAGATACTAATTTCTATCTACACTGTTTAATTTGAGCCTACATAGTATCACACACACAAATCCAAGAGGCAACATTCAGTACTCAAATTAAGTTTCCAGATCACCCTATTACCCTTTTCCATACTGCTACTAAAACACAACTTATTTCCTTGAAAAAAACAACTCTTTTCTGAACAGACTATTGAGCACTAATAATACCAAATTCTCTTCTAGATGTCCATGAGGCATAAATCTCGTCCAGTGTATAACAGAAAACACAGGAACAAAATCACATATACTTAACTACATCGCATGCCTTCACTGCAGGCTAGAAGAAAACACTGAAGTCACCATGAGAATCACACCAAGGTAGGATGTCCTCTATCCATTGACTCACCACTCTTGCAGTGAGAAATTGCAGTTAAACCCAGAAGGGTCTAGTATAGTTTTTCCAGCTTTAAGTCATTTTTTTCTTTGCTCCTTAATACCTCTGAAACTCCACAGTAGACAGTGTCAGCATAAGAAAGCTGGAGCCCAACAGCATTGAAGACCAAGTTTGACTGACTGCATTTCACAGCAAATGAAGTCCACAGGTGTATTTACTGCCAGCTGGCAGCGATTTCAGAACTAGTAACTGGTGTGACAGAGTGACAGAAAAGGTAAACATTACCCTAAAATGTACTAGGAAAAGATAAAAGAAATAAAGATTGGCCAGTACTTTTCTCTAAAACATTAGTGCACTACACAGCAAATCCAGTAACTTTGGTCATCCATCGGAAAAACAGGTTAATGTCAGGTGAAATATTCTCTGAGATGGGTTCCTGTAGTCCTTACATTAGGGAAGATTGAAAAAGAATCTGCCTTTTTTTGACCTACAAAGCAAAGGAAAAGACAATATGTGATTTCAAGGCTAAATGCTAGAGGGAGAAGTATCTAAAGTAAAACAAGAGTTTGGCACAATGCCAAAAGGGATTATACCTGCTATGAATACATTCAGACTGGAAACTAGAAAGTGTCTAGCTGTCAGAGCTCAGAGTATGGTGTAGCCTCACAGTAGGAATAACAGAAGGAAAATAACCTAATTAGTTTTAAGAGGGAGACTGAAAAGTTTAAGAATATCTCAACAGCAGGGGACTGGATTTGGGAAGTGCCTTATAGTCCTGCATTCAAGCAGGAAGACTATCAGAGAAAACCAGAACCTGTATCTGCATGAATTTCCATTCAGAAACATTCTTGCAAATTAGTCTCATCAAATTTAACTAATCACACCTTTAGATCACAAATGTTATTAGAGATTTATGCAAGTGGCAGTTACCTGTGTGTGCCAGACTATGGATTAATATCTGCAGTTATTAAGTAAGCCTCTATTTTACCACTGATATACAATCTTTCTTAAGAGGGGTAAGAAGCAATGCAACAGCAATATGGCAGGGTAAGTGAAGATTTGGGGTGGGTTTGGACCCCTGTGCCAGTGTTAGCATGAAAAGTAACACATTGTACTAAGTCTGGTATAAAAGTTGAATTAAACTATTTGTAAATATTATTTTTCTTCTGTGTGCCATCTCTTCTGACAGCCAGTTCACAACGGTTGAAATGCAATTTTAGAGCCATTTCTACATAAAAATAAGTCAAACAAAAAAATCCAAGTTTGATATTTGGTTGGTTTAGGGTGGGTTTTTTTTAATCTGAAGGATTAGCTTCACCACTGTCATTTAAACATGAAAAATCATTGACGTGACAAAAGAAACATAGGTACAAAGAACACATGGGAATTGACACACTGCAGTGCATGTTATGGTGTTCTCCACCTTCAGAAAGGAGCTCCTGTAACACTGAAATGAAATCCTATCTCCACTGAAGCAGTACTGTAGTCTTGATATATATTTCATCCCTGAACTTTATTTCCAATGAAAGTGCATCAATAACTGTAATAAGTAAGAGTTCTGAGAGGAGCTGACTCTGATGAACAGGAAAAGAATTAGGAGATGGTTGTTACTTGGGTTTGTTTTACACTACGCATGATGTGCAATTGCTACTATGATTTGAAGACCTACCATTGTGTGTGACATCCATGCATGACTTTGCAAAATTAACTATCCTACATAAGCAGCATTTGTCTTTCCTTGATAGGGACCCAAAAGTTAAGTCCCTGAACCTACAGGGTTCATGCCCTCTGATCTGGTGGCCTTTTACCCATGTGCCTTCTTTCACTCCCCAACACAGAAACCACGGTACAGTGAGCTGACATGAATTCCTTGAGTTCAGTAATCAAAGCTGTCTCAAAACCCAAACCAACATGGTACCAACTGTGCAAAAGCAACAATGGAGTGACCACAGGGTTTTTTTCATACCTGCTTTCACTCCAAGAGTATGCCCATACTCCTCCCACCACATCTCAGAGGCAAACAGCATGCCTGAGCATACAGTTCTCTGCCAAGAGGAAGCAGAGAGAAAGCCACCAGCATTGTACCAGGCAAAGGGCCCTGTCTAGGAGCAGCCAGGAGCCAGCAATGCTTCTCTCCACGCCCACATCCACACAAAGCGGGAAGGAAACCTTGCCCACACATTGTCCCTCCCTAAATGTGTTGCTTAGATGCTCAACTCTGCTTTCTCTGCAGGTAACCTCTGTCCCCTGACACACAAGCGATGAGATGATCCAGGGGTGCTATAAGGGGCAGCCTGGCACTCACCAGGCCTCCCCACTGCTCCTGCCTATCCCCAGGGGATGCCAGCAGCGGGACCATGAGTCCAGGAAACGAGAGGCACAGGGAATGCACGGCCCAGGCGGGACGGACGCTTCGGACTGTCCCCTCCCCGCGGTCACCATCCCCTCCTGCGGCGGGCGCGGTGTGATGACGTCGCAGGGGCCGCTCGCCTCCCCCAATGGCCGGGCCCAGCGCTCCCGCGCCTCTGAGGCAGTTCCAAGATGGCCGCTGTGTCGGGAAGTCAGAGCCCGAGGCCGCGGTGTCAGGATGGGCTTTCTGGTCTGGGAGGGTGCCGTGCGGGCCTTGCATCTTTCAGGGGGTTGCTCCGGGCTCAGAGGGCTTCTGCCGCCTACGCCGGGTTGACTGCCTCACCGCACAACGTTACAGAGGCTGCCCGGCCCAGAGCCTCTGCTGCCAGCGACGGCGCCTCGGGGCTGTGGCCTCCCCCGGGCCTTTCCTGGTGGTATACTGACCCTCAACGGTAGCAGTGCTTGCGTGGAGTGTGTACCCTGGGTGAGGGAGTCACCGCTGCCACAGCACCCAGGAAAGCACCCTGAGACAGCCCAGTAAGGGGCAAAGGGACTAAACCAAGCCAAGGATGCCTGTGCTGGGGCTTGGCATTTGCTGAGTTTCATGGAGCTTGTGTTTCATGCTAGCCAACAAGTGCCCCCCTATGCTCCATGCAGGAGACAGATTGGCAGCTGGAGAGTATAGGTTATCACAGCAGTTGTCAAATGTACTGCACAATGCTGGTGTTTGAAGAGCTAAAGGGTGACATAAAGCTGGGTGCAGTGTGTGGAGCATGAGCCCTTTCTAAAATGTCTCTGTTGGAAAAAATGTAATGCAAAGGGAGATGGCACTGATTTAATTTGGTATAGCTGCAAGTGTACTTTGGGCAGCAACCTAGGAAAATACTCCAGTAACAATGGAAGGTAAATGGCCCTCTTGGTTTGTATTGTCCCTGAGCCTTGCTAATGAAGTAACAACACTGAACATCCTCTGAGAGAGAAATAAAAGACCATCCCATATGCCAGCACGGCCTGCCTTCGGCCCGGCCTCACCCTTGGCTGGCTGTGGATTGTGTCCGCAGGCAGGTCAGGTTACCTCCTTGTATAGCCCTTGCCATGGCAGGAGGCAGGATCATGGCTGAACAATTGCTCTGCTGTTAGATTCAGTCCCACCATCCCCTACACTATTAAAAAATGGACCCTTAGTGAAGAGTTGTTTAGATTTTATTTATTTCCCTGAGAAAAAACACAAGCCTATCTATGGATTTTAATTGCTATGGAGATCTGATGCGAATTAGAGGTAACTTTATGCAGACAATCTACATCTTTCATTCACTTGCATATGGCTTTTGCAACATTACCCTTTATGATAGTAAATCTGTCAAAGCATTTATATCCTGAGATATTTTTCTGGAAGCCTGGGGCTTGACAGGAGACCAGTTCCAACATTGTGAGACATTTGCGGGAACTTGTTGCAGACTGTATTGTTCTGAAACTTGCACTTTCTTCCTCAGAACTGTCCACAGAAGTGCTCTGAATCCTATTTGCATCCACACACTCCTGGGAAGCTGTGGAAAACCCACTCTCTTAGCCAGGCATATTGGACAAACTTGCTTCTTCCTGCTGGATTTTACAAGCGCAGACAAAGCTTGAAAACAAAACAAAAAATTCATCAGTAACACCAGCAGCCCTTCTCTGAACATGTGGGATGCTTCCCTGGATCCCTGCTCATTTCCTGGAGGGAAACTCAGACACACCACTTCAGGGCTGTCCTGAAGTGTGTGGAGGGTTTTATTTTTCCTCTCTCTCTCCTTCTTTTCTTTTCCCTCCTTCCTTGTGTTGATTTGTGGGGCCAGAATGACTTTGATTTCAGCAAGTTTGCTGTTTATTCACGTCACAAGTTTGACAGCTTTACACCAAATCAGATTGCTGGGTTTCAGGAGAGCTCTGAGGCGTCACTGGGAGCTCCTTTAGATTAAACTCGCCTCCGTGGTTTCCCCCCTCTCCCCCTCCTTCAGAGCCATTTAAACCTCTCTGGGGCTTTAACAGAAACGTGCTTCCAAGACCTGCATTTCATTCTGCCACTAACATGGTAAGTGCTCTTTGCATTTCTCTCGACCTGTAGGCAGGAAAGGAGAAGATGGTCTCTTCGCCTTGTGGGCTTGCACTAGGTTTTATGCCTTCTTTAAGATGGTGAAGGAAGACGGTTCTCCTCTACCTGCAAGAGCAGTTTCTGCTGCTGTGCCTTCCCATGGGTGAGCAGATTCCCTGCTTGAGGTTCCAGGCTCTGCCGTTGCCTTGCAGAGACTTAGAGCTGGTGCAGATCGGGTTTATTGGGAGAAGGGAAAAGGGTGAATCCAGAGACAATTCAGGGTTTGCCACTGTACGGGCTAGGACTCCTGCAGAACTGCAGGGGCAGAAGAGAGTACGAGCAGCCTTGGAGGTGACACTGCTGGCTTTGTGCTGCTTCAAAACTGAATCAAGCCCCTAAGGTGGGAGGAACGCCCTGGCCAAGGACAGCCTGGGTCCTCCCTTCCTCTTAAACCCACTCAGGACCGTAGTATTTCCCAAGGGATTGCAGGAAACTCAGCCACCTTCCTGGCATACCTTTAATTGGAGCCCCTCTGTGGCGGGGGTCTCCGGCGGGGGGAGCACTGCCCAACGCCCAGCGGAGGCAGCAGGGAGATACGGTGCCACCGGGCGGAGGGTGAGGGGGGAGAGCGGGCAGCCTGGTCAGGGCTGGGAGCTCCCGCGCCTGGCAGAGGCAGCCGGGGCTGCGGGGCTGTCCTGCGGCAGGTACCAGAGCAAACCCCGGCTGGGACAGGAGCAGGCGGAGAGCAGGGACCAGCCCGCAGCGCAGGGGTGCCTCTCGCCGGGATGCGGTGGGGCAGGAACGGGGCTGACACCGCCTCCCCTCGGGGCCCGCTGCAGCCCGGGGGCTGGCCGGGCGGGAGGGGATAACAGTCTGCCGAGCGCCCCATCGCCATGGTCCATTGCCTCCACAGAGCACCGGCCGGCCGTGCCCGGAGCCAGGGTTCGCCGGGGTCCCGGGCTGCGCCTGCCCCTGGTCTGTCCCAGCTGGTGTTTCCAAGGAGACCTGGGCTGCCGCCTGCACCGCGGAGCCGCCCCCGAGCCGGGGCCGGGGGGAAACGCCGGGTGAGTGCGCTCCCGCCGCCGGGAAGGGGGGTGGGCCCGGCCACGGCCCCGCTGCCGGGCTGGGAGAGGAAGTGGGAGCGGGCTAACCCCTCGGTGTGCTCCGCTCCAGGGCAGTTCTGCAGCTCTCAGCTCGGTGCTCAGGACGCGGCATGGCAGGGAGACCAGCTGTCCTCCCAGCTCTACAGGAACAAACAGGTAAAGGCTCCGCGCCCCCCAGAAACTTCACTTTCACCCCACGAGGTTCATGAACTTTGTGTTATGTATTGCACCTTCTGGGTTGGTTTATGGCATCTCTCACTGGTACAGATAGAGGAAACGGTGGCAAACTGCTTTTATGTTGGTGGGTTTTGTAGAAAGTATTTGTCCTGCAAGGGGTTGGTTCCCTGTTCATCCTAACAGAATATTGCACCAGCTGCCTTGGCAGTAGAGAGGACCCAGGGGCATGACCAGGGAGAACCTCAGGTTCTGATGATGCAGAGCCTTATGCTGTTGACAAAAAAATACATGGTGCGTGTCCTCCTGAGTCCTGACAAATGATTCCACCAGAATTACCTACTGATATGAATGATCAACGTTTTTGACCAACAAACATTTCCTTGTTTACTTTGTTTTCTCTTTTCTTGCCTTTTTTTTTTTTCTTGTAAATCCCATCAAGGGGAAAGGAGAAACTCTGAACAGTCCTGGATGAAGGAACCCCAGAAAGATCACTCCAAGTATCTGAAATCATAGAATCATAGGATAGTTAGGATTGGAAAGTACCTTAAGATTATCAAGTTCCAACCCCCCTGCCATGGGCAGTGACACCTCACACTAAACCATGTTACCCAAGGCTGTGTCCAACCTGGCCTTGAACACCTCCAGGGATGGAGCATTCACAGCTTCCCTGGGCAGCCTATTCTAGTGTCTCACCACCCTCACAGTAAAGAACTTCTTCCTGATATCCAATCTAAACTTCCCCTGTTTAAGTTTGAACCTGTTACCCCTTGTCCTGTCACTACCTAATGAAGAGTCCCTCCCCAACATCCTTATAGGCCCCCTTCAGATACTGGAAGGCTGCTATGAGGTCTCCACACAGCCTTCTCTTCTCCAGGCTGAACAGCCCCAAGTTTCTCAGCCTGGAGAAGTTTCTCAGTTTCATACGGGAGGTGCTCCAGTCCCCTGATCATCCTCGTGGCCCTCCTCTGGACTTGTTCCAACAGTTCCAAGTTCTTTTTATGTTGAGAACACCAGAACTGCACACAATACTCCAAGTGAGGTCTCATGAGAGCAGAGTAGAGGGGCAGGATCACCTCCTTCAACCTGCTGGTCACACTCCTTTTGATGCAGCCAAGATACGGTTGGCTTTCTGGGCTGCGATTGTGAAATGACATTTTAACACAGTGGAGTTGATAGAGTTCATTTACTAACTTCAAGGTCCCTGGAATCTATCCCTAGTTCCAGGCATCAGTGTATTTCTTCCTTTGGCTCTACCTCAGTCATTTAAAGCTCTGCTTTTCAGCCTGTGGTCAGCAGGTGCCTGAGATCCTTGGCAGAAGATTCTTTGTCCCTCTGAAGGAGTCTTCAGAACTATGATCAGGAGGCAAAAATCTCTCTGCATATACATAGAACTTCCCATAAAAAAGTGTCAGGTGTAGACAAATCAAAACCTACCTGTTCAGCTCTTGGGACCAGGGATTATTGCAGCTCTATACTTGTGCTGGGACTGGCACAGTAGAGCCTAGGATTGAAGAGGTCACTGGGTACTTCTGTATCATAAAGAATGGCAGCTGCATTTTCCTTCTGCACACTACTGCCATAAATTGTTAGCCTGCAGTTCCACCTTCTCCTTTTCCCTACCAGCCAACGATAAATTGGAATGAGAGTGGTGCAAAGGGATGCTTACTGCTGCTCTGGAGATCTGGTAGCTGCTGCCATGCCCATATTGGTTTCTGGCTGTTCACAGGGCTACCTGTAATTCTTGTCTGTTATTATTCCGTGGTTACTTTTTTTTTTTTTCAGACTAATCTCAAACACTCACTAAAGAATAAAAGAAGTCAAAAGTCAAAAGTGGAAAGTGAACAGTTGTGCCACTTAGTTTTACAGAGACAAGAGGCTGGAAGGCTAGGTTGAGTTCACAAAGCAAACACCCAGATCATCAAATCCAAGCAGCCTGCACCATAGGGCAATTGCTATTAAGTTACAGAGTCAACATCTATTCATCAATATCTCTGTTTCACAGCTTCAAGATACTTTGCTTCAGAAGGAAGAGGAACTTGCTAGGTTACATGAAGAAAATAATAACCTCCGACAATACCTGAATTCTGCCCTGATTAAGTGTTTAGAAGAAAAAGCCAAGGTATTGTGTCCAAACCTGTTGTATAGACATGTGCAAAAGAAACAGGTTGAATAGGTTGAAACAGGCACATGCTATTAAAATACATGTAAAGTCTGAGAGTGTAGTCAACCTGCAGTGTGAGATCTGTTTAACTTCATAGAGCTGCCAAATTGCTAGTCATGGATCTAAGGTGACAGTTTCCCCCAGGAATGGCATCATATCAATTGTGGAGACAGTATAGCCCATGGCATAATTAAGTTTAGTTAATGAGTAAGTTAGCTATAAGTAAGTTAAGTTTATAAGCAAGGCAAAAGTTATCCTATCTAACCTTCTTTTTCAGTGAAAAATTCAAATTTGAACATATATTTCTCTAATGTGTCCATTTTGTCAATTACCCCTTTTGATAAGGATTATTTTTTTTATGTTTTGGATGCTTTCTGGTTTATGTTTTATTTTGTCATCTTCAATGATACATTTTATTTATTTACATTAGAGTACTGATCTTCTAATGGTTTCAAAGTTATTTAATTAAAAAGTTGTGTGGGTTTTGGTTTTGGTTTGGGTTTTTTTTCTTTCTTTAAGATGAAATACCAAATTAAGCACTTCAGGTTGGATGAAACATTTTGTTAAACTAAGTGTGAATAGGTTGGGGTTTTTATTAAATATTTTGATTCTCTCTTTCTAGTCCAGAAGATAATTGTTTCTTGTTGGTTTAAAGAAATTTTTTGCTATTCCAGCCTCATGAAACTGAACTATTTATTATTTCCTCAGCTCTGTAGATTGTGCATGAAGTAAAAAAGCCTGTAAAAAAATAGCAGACTTTCCTTTTCCATCCTGTTCTGTGTTGACAGTGTGGCATGTCCTTCCATGCCAAAACCTGGCTCCTGGCAGTAGAAAATGTCTCCTTCACTGGGCACAGCAGGCAGATATGGACACCCCTCTATGTCATGTGGAGGAGGGTCCAGAATGAAACCATCACAGGAAGTGTCTGAGCAATGAATTCATGAGATGGTGGGGAAGCTTCCTTGTTGTTCCTGCCTTCCTTTGACTGTCCTTGGATGCCTGAAGGGCCCTTGTTCTGGGATAATGACAACCGAGGTGGATTAATGGGCTTAAGCCACTCAGTCTGCTGCTCTGAGCACTCCTTGGCCAGGATCAAACCTGCCCCAATATGACTTACCTTCATATCCTCCCTTTGTGCCAGATTGCCACATTTCCCCCTCTTACCCTGCTCACCTGCCAAGTGCTGCTGGCAGCAGCAGCACAGAGGAGTGCCATACAGCCAGGCAGGAGCTCTCATTTCATGCTGTACTGAGTGAGAATGCGATCAAAGCACAGGCCTTGTTGACATTGTCAGATTCTTTCTCAAGGACTTGACTGTTGCAGAGACTGTAAGACACAAAATAGTCATATCCATATGTTCCACAGGGTGGAAGAAAAAGTATCTTTTGTAAGAACAGTAGTAACAGTCTTGCCCATCTAAAAGCCAAGATCAGAAACATGTTGCTTCCAGATAACTGGAAATTCAGATTTCAATCTTCTGTCTCACCTTTATTTTATTTTTTTTTTTTCCCTGATAGAAACTGCTTTCCTGCCATGGCCAAAAAAACTGTGCTATTCTTAAAAGCACCAAGAGGAAATTAAAAGAGTACCACTGCTTTGCTCCTCAAGAATCTCCTCATGCTTCCAAAGCCAGAAGGAGCCTCTTTAATGAATTCACTGCCTGTGAAGAGCAAGCCAGCCCTGCTGTAGACAGCTGGGTCTTGCAGACTTTAGGATTAAAAGATGTGAACACCATTGATGAAACTTCAGCTAACTACAGTGCCCTCTCCTCAGACCTTGGAAAAGACATGTACTGCCTAAGCGCTGGTGAAGCAACAGACTATGACCACAGTGAAGGAGCATCAGCAGCATATAGCTGCAGCCACCTGCCTTCAGCTAACAACAGCACCCATCCATGCAGTGAGGACTTCCTTCCTCAGTTTTCTTCAGCAGAATGTGTCTCATCCGTGCCAAGCATTTCCTCCCTCCCAGCCTATGGGTTGCCTTATTTGACTGCCAATTTGTCACCCAACAAAACAGAAATGGCCTTCACAACATCACTAAGTCCTCACCGCAATGTGAGAACACACACCTTCCACCAAGGACAAGCCTTTGTGTGCAGGGATGATGATGGAGGATGGAGATTCACCTGGGTGCCCAAGCAGGCTGAATAATGCACCTGCACTGAGGGTCAGCCGTAGGGGATGAAGAAGACAGACACTTAATCTTGTGCTTGAGACAGATTCATGCATCAAAAATGAGCCCTTCTGGGCTCTGATACATGCTCCTCTGTCATGTACTGTACTGGATATTTCTTTACGTACATGTCATATACGTGTACTCCTCATTCCCTTCCAGATACTTACAGGTGTGGTTTGATATTGCACTTGGACAATTATCTGCCCCAGGCCAGATGTACACTTCTCTTGTGCCTCTGTTGAGATACCTGGTTTTACTTGTTTCATGTTTTTTCTATCATCAGATACTCCTTGTTAACTGGTAGTTAACAAGGTTGGAGTGCTTTCAGCTTTGAAGATTGAAAGCATTTGGGGAATACAGTTTGGAAATGGCATTTTTCTCAGATATCCACAGATGACAAAGGAGGCGTAGGTTGAGGATCAGCAGTTTCTAAGTGATTTATGTCTCTCCTGGCTACACAGATTGCCTTGGATTAAGGCAGTCACGGGTGTTTTTAATGTGCTACACTAGGCTGACCTACCTGCAGTCGCATGGTGCTGTCACATTCTTTGATGATGCCTTAAAATGAACAGGATTTCTTCTATTGCCTGAAGGCTACTTAATTACAAGTGATTCAGCAAGTTCAGGGGATTTTCTTAAAGTGTGATCAAGAGATTAAAGTTTACTGCATTGTGCTTTAAAGGTATTTTACCTGTCAGATAAAAGGAGTTTAAATTTGAGCCCTGGAACAGGAACTGGAATTGGAAATTCTGTAATAACACTATCACCACCGGCCAAGTCCCTGGCCCAGTATATTTGTGGGAGAAATTGTCTCATCTGTGGATAATGTACACTTAGAGCTCTTCTTTCTTCTGTGAAGGATTCATTCCTGTTGTCTCCAACATCCCGCTAATATTTTGATGGATTTTAGTCTGTGTTTATCTGCCTAATCACGAAGGATTTTGGAAGCCCTCATGAAAGAGAACCACTCCTGGGTTCATAAGCAATTTCTGTGGCTCCAGTGGGGCTTTTTTTACAATATCGAGAGCTGCCTTGTGAAACCAGAGATTTTCTTTCTAGGGAACAACTTCTTGACCTTTTTGTCCTGATCTCTGAGATCACACACAGATCTATCTGCAATCAACATCAGCCCAGAGTCAGGGCTACTTCTTGCTCCTCCCATAACCACACACTTCTATGGGAATGTTTCTTCTGATTGGGGAGGCAGTATTGCTTGGAGGCAGAGTGAGCATTTCAGAACCACAGCCTTCAACACCAGCTCTTCCCTACCCATGTCTCTGCCAGGCAGTGGTGGGCTGAAGCTAAGACCACTGCTAGCTTGAGAATGCTTTAAAAACCTCTGCAGAGAAGGTGCTCTAGCACTGTGCAGGACTTGAGTTTTAGTAACACTACTAATGATATGAAGTTAACTGACATGAAGTAAACTCACTAGTAATGTTTTATGTTACCTTTGTTCTCTGCTTTAAAGTAGTTTGATGCCTAAGTATTGGAAATACAATGATTTGGTTATTTTTCCTTTCAGAATTGTCCCAGGGACATTAAGGAAGTACTTAAGTAAAAATTATTGTAATAGAGGATTTCCTTCAAGTGGCTTATTTTCCTATAGAAAACTGGATATTTCTTTATTTTTAGAGGATAAAAATATCTCCTGAATAGCCTCCTGTGCCTTAGAATTACAGTATTTGGGATTCTGCATTTAATACATATTTAATATAGAAACTATACTTAATATGGAATTGCAATATTTGGGATTCTATATATAATATTTAGATTCCCTAGAAGACTTTTAAATAAACAAATTCTGTATTTCTGGGTAGTTACTTTAAAGTCAGTTATGGGGCAGACTTCCAGAATAGGCAATTTGAAAGGATTGATTGTAGGCATTATTGCACTGGATATAAAAAAAAACCTCACAAAACCAAACAAACAAAACCAATGCACATAGAATAAATGCAAGTATTTGAAGGTTTTGTTGTGATCAATAAAAATGTGGGCAGCTGATAAAGACTGGTCAGACAAGACCACTGTTTCTATAGTACTTTTCAGCTTTTCAATCAGAAGAAAAATCCTGTCCTACAAACAGCTAATTTATTTCTCAAAGCACTTCTTTTCTATTAATCTTCCCATGCCCTACTATATAAGATAGCATTGAAGAAAATACTCCTGTCACTGGAATGTATATTGATGCATGTGGTAGTGTAGAAAATGCTTGACTTTAACATGGATACCTGATAGGAGACCCTGGAGAGCATGGTGCGTGGGATGAACAGCATGCCAGGAGTAGGCAGTGTGGCCAGAAGATTACACCCAGCACAGCTATAGATGCCACATCTTTCAAAACAGCTGTAGAATATAAGCAGAGGAAGATCTGTTTGTGTTTTCTATCACTTTTGAGTGCTATTACTTATGTTTTTCAATGCTATGAAGTCAGCAGCAGTAATAAGTACATTTGTCCTATCATTTTTATACCACTGCATGCAGGAACTTCCCCTGCAGAGAGCCAGGACAAAAGTGCCAGATCTTTGGTACAATCTCAAAGGGATTTCAGTAGGAACAAAGTGATGCTTGAACCTTCACCGGCCTTTTGTAAAGGGATGACTAAGCCCCTTCTCTCATAGAAAATAAGTTATTAAAAAAATAGTATTTCATGAGTTATTATGAAGAACAACAGAAACAAGCCATTCTATGTCTAACACCAACCCACAGCAAGCAAGTTAGCCCCAAGGTGAGGAATGAGACTCTTCTGCTTTTTAGTTTCTCTGTAATGTTCCTGATAAGTTCAGTAGTGCAATTCTCACTGAGGACAAATCCCAGTGACCAAACCATTCATTTAGAAAAATATTGCTCCTAATGCCAGAAGCAAGCTTTTACTCAGCATACCACACTCTAAAACCACCTGGTTCTTCTGAAAATCCCGCATCCATGCAGATATAACAGATGTGGAAATCTTACGGTAGATTGCAGACAAATGGTGGGATATAGAGGATGATTACTGCCTGGGCTGGTGCTGGTTTGACATGTTGATTTGACATGCTCTGTCCCTGTGACTTCCTTGAGCCTGAAAGCAGTAAAGCTGCTTTAATAAGGCACTGCTTCCAGCTCATTTGCCTTTACCTCCCAGAAGGGCCTATGACCTTAGGTGCAGGCTGGGGCTGCAGCAGCAAAACTGCTACTAACTTGATACTAGTGAGCCTGAATCTAGCTCCTCAGTGTGTAGGCGCACAGTAGACGCACCCTACACTGAACTTTTAAAAGTCAGCCATGAAACTGGAGCCTAAACACGCCTTTTTTTTTTTCCTTCATAAAATAAAATCTGGAAATGCTTATTTGCTTTTAATTACTGTCCAGTTTGCACAGTTTTTTGGCCTGCAAAGACATGGGGGAGGAGATCTTGCCTGTCCAAAGCCTAAAGTAGGTTTCAAGATGGAGATTCAGTCCTGATTTGTGCCTGATGCTTCCTGTTTGTCCTTTTGTATCCCACTCTCAGTACTAAAACAGAGCTAAAGCCGCCCTGCTGCTCATGGAAAGTGTGAGGTAAAGCCCAGGGAAGCCTATGTCACATAACCATGCCACAGAAGTAGCTAGACCTCAATAGGAATGAAAACAAAAAGTGAAATACAGTTCTTCACAAAGCCATCACAACTAGGTAGCCAGGGGATTGTAGAGATAAAGAGTTTCAGCTTAGTACTGTACTTCTAACTTCAAAAACAAGTTAAGCAGCTGGAATAGAAGAGCAGGAGGTAGAAGTTCTGAGTTCCAATATTGCCTCTGGTATTACATTTTGTTTCTGTACTTTGGTTTCTATGGAACCCACCACTAGACCAGTTCATAGCAATTTAACCAGAAAACATGATTCTTGCTGCTGCAAATTGTGTGAGAAGTTCCCTTTTACCAAGGATCAGTACCAGGCTCATATACCTCCAGGATGGCGAAGTACTACTTGAATGGCCCAGGGGCCCTAGGAAGTTCTTTGAGCAGCAGTGAACTTCATTGTCTGTAAATATCTACCTGGTATTAACATATTTGTTTTATTTTTTTATTTGACATTTGTTTGCCTTATCATGTGAATGCAACACATGCAGCTGCACACCTTAAAACAATCCATGTTTTTAGAAAGACATGCTAGTAGAAATGGAAGTTAATTTAACACTTAATATGTTGACATTCATGATTTTTGTGACTAAAAAGGCCATGATTACATGTAAATGTCAATCTTACCAGTGGCATTATATCTAATAAAACTTAACATCTAATTGATGCAATTATTTCTGCCCACTTCAGCATCTATTAAAAAATGCAGCTGTTTCTCAGCACCATACCTGGCACCTACACACCTCTCCAGAGGCTTGAAAGGGACCTTTATTTCTTGCAAGCACAGGCATCCATCCACACAAGGAGGTACAATGTGTGGTCATAATATAACAGAGGTAAAGATGTAACAGCCACAGGAATGCTCATTTCAGGCTTGCATAGCATATTGCAGTGATCCATTATTGTTTTAACTTAGAAATAGATCCCATGCTACAAAAATACTAGGACAGTTATTGTGTATTTCTTCTGTTACTTTTGCAACATCAGTTTCTCTTACTTAATAGACATATACCTTCTTAATTAGGCAGATGAGCATCCTGATTCATCATAGTACTCTGAGTACTTCTAATTATGACTCTGAAATGTTGAACTGTAAAATAACACTAAGGTGTTGTGTAAAGAAACTGAAGATGAGAGAGAAAACAAGTAAAGACTTCATATCTCTATTTAGTCAGCTATATTTGACCACAGAAGTAAAGCTGTGCTACTGCACTTTCTTTTCTGATCACAGCCAGGTTTATTAGTTAACCATGCATCAACTGGGACCAGAGAAATCCCTTTTTCATTGGACTGTTTATTGCTTATTAAAAGATACAAAGTGAGCCTTCCTTAATCTCTTTTGCCCTCCTCTGAAAGCCGTAACAACTATACTAGATGATTCAGAAGCACTCTGGCTTGTTGCCAGGTAGCTGACATCCAGTCAGAAAGAGACAGCAGTCTATAAATAATTTGTAGAATAAGCTGTGATTCACCTAAAATGCCACCTCTCCAGTCATTCCTCCACGTCATTAGTTGTGCATCATTAAATTATTTCAAGGCTAAGTATTTACATGCAGTGCAGCCCAAGAAATCAGTATAATAATGGTGCATGAGCAACAGACTATAAAAACAGTAGTGCATGAAGACATAGGAGGTCTGAGGTCCTTATTTTTCCCCGATTTGTTAAAATATCCCACTCTCAAACTGTAGCTGTAATAGGGGTACGGTTAGCTGAAACTCCCAAGAACTGCCTCAGAAGCTGTCAAAGAACACTCTCTAAATATTCATTTACTAAACAGTGTTTGCACATATAACATCTTGCAACACCACATTATTCCTTGTTAATGATCACAGAACACAGGGTCGGAAACTGGGAGTGTGGAACTGTATGACACTTTCAGAGGTACAATACATGTCACCAGATGAGCTGGAATGCAGGCCAGGAATCCTAGCTCACAGCTGTGCAGACTGAAGGCCTGAAGCACTGCAGGCTGAAGCACATCAGAGAGCCAACATGCACAGTCAATGCCCAAAATGTGCCACCGTCACCTCAGCTGTGCAAATAGCAGCAGCCAGGCCCCAGGCCCCAGTGATGCCCACTGGCGAGGCAGAGCCCAAAGCTCTCAGAGCTCAGGGGCTCAGCTGCGGCCCCGCCTCGGGGCTCTGGCCAGGGTGCTGAAGTGGCCGCGGCGCCCCGGCTCACGAGAGCAGTGCGGGCGCGAAGGTGCGAGAGCACCAGGGCGGGCGAGCGAGCAAGCGTCCCCCAGTACAGAGAGATCCTGCGACATCGGAACCGAACTAAGGTGGGCAGAACATCTTTGTTCCGTTACCAGCACTAGAAAGACCCTGTCACACATGATGGCCTTTGGTTAGAAGAATGACCTTTCTTAAATCTCGAAGTAATATCTGCTTGATGACATGAGTGGGGTTAAGTAACAGGAGAGAAATACTGTGTGCCCAGGACTGTAACCCTGGTAAACATAACCGACAGTTTATAGGTACAAACTGTGCAGGGCTTCTCTGTCCAGGCTACAAGGTAGCTGGGTCACAGGCAGGCGCATTTAAGAGGCTGCATGAATGGCCAAGTACCCTACTACATATCATTGGAAGCAGAGAAACTGTAAACTGGAAAGTTCCCTCTACCAGTCATGAACTGCAGTTTATTCCAGATACAGAAGGAAGATATCAACTGCCTCTCATCTAGGTCAGAGAATCCAAGAAATCCCCAAGACCTTTGAGCAGTAACATCCTTTGTAACCTCTGAAGCCTTGCATGTCTGTTGAGTGTAAAGCTCCAGGTATTAAGCTTAATACTACAAAAACATTTATTACTAAAGAATTAAAATAATCATTACTCTGTTACAGGATTATGTAGACTATTCAGATAGAGATATGGGTTCTATTATATTGGAAATTGTATTAAAAAATCTTAACTGCTCTGCAGTGAGTGTAATGAATTCTGTTTTCATTTCCACTGTCTAGGATCCCAAATAGTCTCCCTCTTTTCTAAAGAGGTTTTTTTTTAAATCACACTATTATAAGTGGGACTGAAACATATAGTGTTGCTCTTTTCCCCAACATTCACTCTGGAATTACATCATAGATCTGCTAAAATGATTTTCAGTAATCAAGAGATAGAAAATCATAAAAATTGTCTTGCTGCTGCTCTCCTCTTCATTGCCTGTCCAGTCCCATTCAAAACCCAGCAGTACAAAATTATCTGATAATTTCAAACAGTAATAAAAAAAAAAAATCTATGTCAATAGCAAGCTTTATAAGATTCAGTTTTTAAGAAAAGTTGACATCTGTTTTGGTTATAAAACCACACAGTTCCAAGGTAAAAGAAACTCCTCTAAGAAATACACACCCTGGCCAAACCTAAACAAAACCCAAACTTGACAATAGTGTAACCCAGGTCAGCTCAGTTCCAAGCTTCAAATATTACTGTAAAAAGATTTCAGCTCAATAGTACTCACTGTCAGTTATAGCTGTTGCACCTACTTTGAATTCCAGTTACCTCAGCTGGACAAAGAATTAATAAGTAGGAATGACAGGATTCCTTCTTGCTTCAGGAAACAGGGCTAATTTTGATTACTTATGGGTCATGAAATATTTAATGGTACCTTTCTGCATGTGAATGGAGAAGTCTTGATTTAATACTGGTAGGTATTGTTTAAACCTGCCAGCTTCAGTTTCCTTCAAAGATTGATATTAGCCTGGTATTTTTTCTTACCCAAAGCAACCAACAATACTGCTGTGTGCAAGATGTTGTGTACCTCCACAGTGATTGCTTCATTTCAACAAGAGTATTTTTCTGAAATGGTCATTTTTGTAATCTATAGAATTGAACTAACCCACTGAAATCAGCATGAGCTAGTACTACCCCTGAGAACAAAATGGAGCTGAAAGAGCTTTAAGTTTCTTCTTACTGAAAGATCTTTTATCAGAATGAAGTCTCATTACCTCAGTGGCCCTGTGGCCATTTCAGAAGTATATAAACATTTGCTACTTATCTGTTAGCCATTCAATTACTAAGATCTTGATACTGTGTAAATATTTAACTACAATAGAGGATATAAATCAGAGAAAGTGATTCTGTTTCATTCCACTGGTGGCAGTAAATCACAGGCTATTCAGACTACTGGGCTACACCCAAAGAACTGAGCTGTGAACACAAGCAGACATTATCTAAATTTTCCTGTAAAGCAAGTCCTAATTAATTCACAATTCATAGGGGGAAGACTCTGGAGCAGTATACCACAGACATTTTTACTGTATCAGCCAGGAAGGGAGAAGCTACCAGCATGCAACCTTTAGACTAGTTCTCCAGAAGATGTGACCAGAACACATGAAAGACCTGGAAAAACAGGTACAGTTGAGTTTGAGCCCCTGGACACTAATGACACAGGCAACAGAGAAAAGGATTGTCCAGTAAATTCTGGTCTTATTCAGTTTCTGGAATAGGCAATCAGGTCTGAGTATAATTAGAGGCAACATGATGAAACACAAGACCAGTGAGCCCCCAAGACTCAGGTTTCCATGCTATAACAAAGGTTCACAGGAGCCACAACTGGAACAGTAGTTTTGTGCTGCTACTCCAGAGATATGGTGCTGGGCTCCACATCACAACAGGGGCATGAGTTTTATTGTACCTCACACCCTAAATGCACCGCCAATTGAAAGTCAAAGTCTCCTAGAACACGTTCTCTTCTACAAAAGTAATAATTGCAAATGTGTAGGCTTATGCTCAGCTTTAGCAACTGCCACCAAGAGCTGAGCCACCATCACCATTCCCCAGCAAGCTTTCCCTGCAGTACCCTTTTTTGCTTTCTGTTGTACAAATATTTGTGCCAGACCTGGGGCCAGGACTATGGGTCACACTGCCCCACTTTTAAGAGGTACCTAATACTATCGTTGGGCAGTGCTCTCTGTCAGGACTTTATCCTCACATCCTCATTTCTGCATGTGTCATCCTCTGCCATCAAAACACTTCAGCCAGAGAAACAATTAGTGTCACCCCAGTATCTTGCAGAGCCTTGCTGCAGCCTGGAAAGGGACACCAAGGAGCCAACAAATCAGCCATCTTCAGAATCTAGAATAGAAATAAGAGGCTCCTCCCAGAAAAGCATGTCCTACCAGCAGCATGTTGCTCCAGGGCACCTCACTCAGGGCCTCTGCTTACCGTTTGTTTCACTCTGGAATAGGCACTTCAACAGAAACAAGGCTTCCTCACAAAAAATGAGAAATGGGGTTATTTCCATTTTTTTATGGCTTGGGGTTTATCCTCCCTGCTTGCAGGATCCTTCATCTCGCCAGTGCCACCTGGTGGGCCCTGGCTCTACGTGTCTGCACCCATGAGGAGGAAAAGGAGGGTGCACCCAGAAGGCCTGGAACAACGGAAATCTTCTGCAAGAGAGCATGGCTGCAGATGTGGTAGGTGCAACCCCACTTTTCTTCAAAACCTGTCCAAGCTGCATGGCCTCCCTTGGGGCTGCTTCACGATGGAAGTTAATCTGCTTCTGCAAGGTCTGATTAGAAAGAAAATTCCCTTTGCCTGACCTCCTTTTCCACTTGGCCCACGTGCAGGTACAAGTTTAGCAAGTGCCTGCAAGCCCCAGTGCATACAAACAAGCCTTGTGGAGCATTATATTTTGGTTTTCTCTACCCCTCTTATGGCCTCCCCTGGCTAAAGTCAAAGAAACACTGAAAGCATCCAAGTAAATCAGTCTATTGCATTTTCTCATCAGCTTAAAATGCTCCCCTTGGTGCCAAAAAAATGACAATTCTCTGCAGAACCAGGCCTGCAGGATGGTTGTATTGAAGCTATTTCTTTTTGCCTTGCCTTCTTGAAAAGCATGTTGGCAAGGGAACATGTCTCCAAACTCCCAAGACCAGTGCACCGTACTGAGCACACAAAAATATATGCATGCACATGACAGAGTGCAGAGGGTGACCCAGCATGGATTTGCTTCATGGACACTCGTCTCCTGCCATGGTCATCCTAAGACAGATCAAATTCATTGCACCATAACTGACAGCTTCTAAATAAAAACCTGTCAGAAGACAGGAGCCCAAATGAGTTTGCATGTTAGCCACTCGGAAGGACAAGGCTGAACACCAACCTTTAGGGCTGAGTGAGTCACAGCAGCCAGAGCCCTGGGCTGATTACAATGATGCATGGGCTTGAGCAGAGGGGAGAGATGCTGCAGCATGACTGGGGCAGTGGGAGTTCCTAGGATGACACAGCTGCTCCTTAGTACAGATTGGAGCAAAGAAGCAAACCCAGTGCTCCCAGCAACCATGCACTCACTGCAGTGCTGCAGTCTTCTGTTCCTGCATCTGAGCAGTTAACCCTTCACAACTATTTCTGTCACTAGAAAAGCTCAGGCTGCCTATGACTAACCACAGCCCTTCACTCTGCTCTCCTCATCCAGGCAACAGGCACACATGCAGCAACAGGGAGCAAAAAGAAAAGAGGAGAGCAAGAACTGGGTTATCTATTGATGGAAACAACCAGTATTTATCATAATAATTTGTAATATATTGTTTGAGTAATTTAAACCCTCCTGTAAAAGGAAAAAAAGCATAGTATGAACATCAGTAAGAGGAAGGAATTAATTGAGAAATTGCTTAGGAATAGTTCAGAAGCACATGTTTACAGCAGTTTGTACAGGGAAGTTTTAGAAGGTTAGAACAGAAATGAAATAACCTTGCTCTGGCTGTTGCCTGAAACCAAGTCAGGAGAGATAACATGTGCAAAGGGAAGCAGCAGTCAAAGGTGGACTGAAAGGGGAGCAACATTTTATGTGTTTCTTGATTTAATTTTTAGCCCACTCTGGAATTGGCTGCTCATTTCAGCATGGATGCACTCAGCAGTTTGTGACACACTGTGCTGTTTTGCTCTGCCAGCTGTGTTGTGCCTGCCAACATTTGTTGAGAAATAACAGGAGGTCACACATGGTGTCAAAAAAAATACCCCTGGCACAGCACATAGAAAAAGGCATTGTATTAGTGGCAATGAATTCAGACCTACTGATGGTGGAATTAATGAAATTTGTGGCTGGCACTCTCTTTGCATCCCAATGGAGGCTATAACAAACAAAGCAAATGTACTGGCCACTAGCCCGTAGGATCAGCAAACCATGCTTGTCCAAGGCAACTGGACGCTCATTGCCTTCCCTGGCAGGCCCTGAAGTAGAGAAAGGAATTGCTGTGCTTGCCTAAGACCTCTCTTCTCTGACTCTAAGGCAACAGGAAACCAAGAGACAGGGAAGCAAGGGGGTAATGCTCATGGAAGAAAAAGGACAATGAATGGCAAGAAGCACATGATGATTATTTTCCTTTGGCTTTCTTGGTTTCTTAAGCTCTCTTTGATCTAGCTACAAGAGAGGAACATCTTTCCCTTTGGTTCTTATTTGCCCTGAAGCTAAAGCTTACCTCCTGAGCACCACCAGTCACTCATCAGTTGTCTTTCCTCTCCTGAGTGGTTCCCAGTCTCTTTTAGGAAACCCTCAGATATATTTATGTTGGCCTTTGTCTTTCCATTATCTTTATGTTAAGTGGAGACAACTAAGGATATATATATTTCTAGATAAGGACACAACTCCTTACAGTCAAAGCAAATACTGCTGCAAGGACTCATGTAGGTGATGTCCATCTTCAGATACATCTAGCCACCTTCTAACTAAGAAACCCAACTCAACTTCAAAGTCATCCCTGCTTTGAGCTAGAGGTTGAACCAGAAAACCTTTATAGGTCATCTTCTACCTCAGATTTT